GCTCCACGTAAGAACCCAAGTACTTGGTCATCTGCTCTTCTCCGCCCACAACCTGCTCCAAGTACAACAGGAAGAGCGAGCCTTTCTCATACGGAACTCCTGAATGGGTTTAGGGTTTAGGGACCTTACAGTAAGTTACCATAAAAAGTATATATAGTCAATGAAAGGATTTCCCCAATACAGTAACTTAGATAAAGGTCTTTAGCAGCAACCCAGACTCGGGAGAAGGCATCATCCGGATCGATATCATCAATGTCCGGCTCCAGTCGGGTCAGGCCCGGGCTGCCCTGCCTGTTCAACATATCCACAGTCCTTGCAGAGTGAGTTTTAAAATCCCCTCCCCCTAATATAAAACCCCCCCCCCAATGCCCCTCCCCCCACATAGTAAATGCACCCAATATATCAAAACCCAATATATCAAAATATGCCACTTTGGAAAGTATTTAATAGTAGGAGAGTGGGTGGTTCAATATTAGGGGGAAGGGATTACAACCCCAGGATCTGCAGAAATACCCAGGAGATGACCGCCTCCTAGATAACAAAATTCATTCAAGAGTCCAGCCCCCGTGCGTTTAGGGAATGCTCTTACCCTCTAATCGCCCTCAAGACCGCGAATACATGCCCCCTCCCATCGGCCGCCGTATTCCGTGGCTTCCAAAGCTTCGAGGCTTGGGTGGAGGGCGACGTGGCAATTTGTTGGTCTTCCTTTTCGGTTGCCCTCTGTTTCCGTCACAACAAATGGGAGTTTCCCAAAATAAGGGGACCCCAATATAGACCCCAAATACTATAGTCCTTATTATAGGGACCCCCAAAGGGGGTACCCCTAATTTTGGGAAACCCTAAACCCTAAACCCTAAACCCCAAATAGTAGTTTCCATTTTCTTTTCCATTATCCCAAAATATCCCCTATATAAACCTCTCCTAATTTTGGGAGACCCCCAAATGAACCTGGGACCATGAGGTTACCTCCCCTACCCTCATCTCAAAGCAGCAGTCGCGTTCGGTTTGGATTTGCTGTGGAGCAACTCTAAACCCTAAGGGATTTGGAACCCCAGTAGAAATTAGAATTTCAGCTAAATAGTAGGATTGTTGGTAACAGAAATTAAGAATTATTTTCAGGAACCTTGTAGTAAACCCTAAACAAGTGAAGTAGGATGGCGACAAGACCACGCGCTTGGACTATCATTGGACTTGGGCCTGCTTTAGACTTGCTGGTTGTTAGTAGGGAGCAAGGGAATACAATCCCTAGGTAATCCCTATATGAGCCATTGTCTAAACTCCTAGTATCCCCTTAATGACCCCTATAGTANNNNAATGTATTTCCTGATTCCCTACTAACCTCCACTTAGCAACGCCCTTTTCTGGCGGATTTGTGAAGCTGGCCCAAAGGCGTCTGGCTATCTCAGCAGCTCCATCCCTGTCTTCACGATCGCCATACTGTAAATCCTCATATCCCATTAAAACCATACACCCCTAGAGTGGCGCCTAAGAACTTTCTTTGCGAAAAAGTGCGCGTAAGCCCTGTGGGATCCTTCAGAAGACTATGAATTTCTGTGATCTGCAGTGCAACAGCCGAGGCGGGCGGCACGCGTGACCTATAATGTATTTAGGGCTATATAGGGGTTGTATAGGGATAATGGAAAATAAAATGGAAACTACTAAACCCTAAACCCTAAAGTTAGGATTTAGGTTTAGGGCTTGGGAGATGAGCTATCAATCGACTAAACCCTTACAGTATTCAAACGAATATGAGCCATAGTCTAAACTCCTAGTATCCCCCTTAATGACCCCTATAGTAATCCCATACATAATCCCCCATATAACCCCCTTTAAGGAGTTTAGACTACAGCTCATATGAAAGAAATTGTAGGTACACCAGCTACAGATATCCACAACATAACCTGCCACGCAGCTACCCATGAGCCCGGTAGAGAAAGGCAGATGGGCAAAGAATTCGGGTCTTTTGACAGTAGACTCCTGCACGATAGGGTCATACGTTCGGGGGCTCAGTGATGTTGCTTAGAATGTGTAAGAGCATGCAGAACAGACCAGAAGAAAGGCCCTAAACCCTAAACCCTAAACCCTAAACCCCATAACGATAGCGCAAGCAGCTTCACCAGATCGTTGTACCCGACCATCAGGAGCAGGCCCCGAAAGGCATCTCCGTTAATGCTGCCTCCGAAACCAACTGTATTATATAGTGCATATTATAAAATGATATAGCATACTATAATATAACATAAAATATTAAAGTACTGTATTGTACATTAAACTATAATATATTGTATTATAGCATAATATAGTATTTTAAAGAATATAGCAAACGTAGTACACTATAGTATAATAGAATACATTTTAGTATCATATGGGTGGTTGTCAAAATTATGCTCCCTTTTTGGGTACCCTAAAAATTAGGTGCCGTATTATAATAGGGATCCAAAAAGGGATCATCATTTTGACAACCACCCATATAGTATAATATGCAGCTTCAAAGTGATCCACACAATCAGGCAATCATCTAAAGCAAGGGCTTGCACCTCTGGGCTTGAAAACTTATCCTAGTTCCATGGCAAAAACCATTCATACGCCAAGTGGTAGAAGTTTAGGGTTTAGGGTTCAGGGAAGATGCTTACCAGCACAGGTGCCCATTATCCGCCTCTCGATGTAGCGTGTGAAGCCTTCATTCAGCCAAAAATCTTTCCAGTATGCGTTGGTCACGAGATTTCCAATCCAGGAGTGGACAATTTCATGAGCCAGGGTTGGCGTGAGGCTGCGGTCACCAGGAATCAGAGAAGCACTCATGAAGGTACAGTTTGGGTTTTCCATACCTCCGTAGGCAAAGGACGAAGGCAAGACGGCAACGTTATAGCTGCCCCACTCATATTTCGCGCCGCCCAGAATCTTCTGCGCAGTCTCTAAGAACTCATCCACTATGTCAGTAAACTCCTTGCGGGCTGCCTCTACAACCTCTGGCTCAGCGTAGCAGCGGCTCTTACGGCCAATCTCACGCGACTCGAACTCGCCCACCACCACAGCAATCAGGTAGGACATCACAGGGACTTCCTGAGCGTAGGTAAAAGTGCATAGACCATCAGCGTCTGTCGGCTCCCCGGAAGGCTCCCCGGAGGCAACTGCCATGAGCGGCTTGGGAACCGTCACCTGTTGTTTTCCCTAGGGGCCCCAGAGGAGATGTAAGTAGGGACTATAAGAGGGTTGCAACAGCCCACCCTCACGCTTTATGGAATCTTATGGATTCTGCTTTTGCAAAAACCTCACCTGAATTGAGAAGGGAGCTTTCACTGATGGAGTGTCCTGGCAAGGAAGCAGCGATCTCCCACAGATTGCGCAGCTTTGCGTAAAGCATAGTGGCTGCCTTTTGCCAGTTGTCTGCTCTTTGGTTAACCATTGGATGGCAGTGCTCTTCTCCGTTGTCTCATAGATCACATTGACATGGAATGGCCCTTTGCCCCGAGGCAGAGTGACCAACAAAGCCTTGCCAAACTTGGCCCTGGCTCCTTCAGGTGTTAGTAGCTCCCACTTGACCTTGGCATCTGGTGCGTGAGATTGCAAAAGCGCAAATGCGTGCACCCTGGCTGCAACAATGTCCAACTTAGCATTCTCCAAGGGCCTCAGCGCGCATCTCCAAGCCTTACTAAGCCTTTCTACAAGTACAAGTCATTATCCAAATCTCCAGTACCCATTTTTTATGTCTTTGCGCACCTTGCGACTTTGTACACACCCAACTTGTCACGCCTTGAATGCAAAAGAAGAAGCTGGCTCACCATCCGCGTCCGTGATGCTGTGTATGATCTTAGCAGGGCAGATGTTCTCAAAGTTATTAATTCCCTTTCCTGGTTACGTCTGATGAGGATTCTTGATCGCTTCTAAATATTAATAGAAACAATTGATATTATATGATTTAATAATAATAATATATTCATAATAATATTATTAATATTACCAATATTAATAATGTTATTAGAACTGCAAGCGGCCCTCACTGTGAGAACCTGCCTGGTTTGGGGGAGCTGTGAGCCGTTTTGGAAATCAGCGCTGAAAAATCATTAATTTAAGGGTGCCCCCTTCACACCCCAGCCCTTGCCTCCTGAAAACGGAGGCGCAGCACCTCACCCACCAAAAAAACATGACCCCAAACCCTAGACCCTGAACTCAAGCAAGGCTCTAGCTCCAAGACATCCAGCAAGACATGGTTCACCTGAGGGGTCCCTTTTCGGGTAGGGCTCTTAGGATTTAATGTTTAGGGTTTAAGGTTTTGGGGAGTAGTTTTGCATGCCACGATCACCTTGCTATTCAGCTTCTCCACAAGCAGCTTGCACCTGCCAGAGAAGAGCTGGCGCTCGAAGTCCACCTTGAGCTCTATCTCCAAGCCTTGTCTAGGTGTTTCTCCAAATCATGGGTCCTTATTTTTGGGGGGAATGGTGCACCCTAAACCTTAAACCCAAAACCCTAAAGTTTTGTTTGGCGTTTGGTAGGACATGGCAACGGCCCCTCCACTCCATATCCTGTTCAAGACACTCTTGATTGTACTCCTGCGTCCCTTGTCCAAGCCCACTTGTTTCCATACCCTCATTACATTGCCGAAGTTTGTTCCATACCCGTTCCAGACTACAAGCAATGATCTGAGAGCTCCATGAAAGACCCATACTGGTATGCATTCCAGACCGCAGAGTCCAGATCAATTCAAGTATGATGCTGGGTCCCGAAGGCACCACCCTTTCCGTCAAATAACATGAAGGAGTGCATGTGAGCTACTGTCTAAACTCCTAGTATCCCCCTTAATAACCCATATAGTAGTCCCCTATATAATCCCCTATATAACCCCAGTTTAAGGAGTTTACACTATGGCTCATGTATTACAGGGGTATGTTGGGGTTCTGATTGTGAGAAACTCTCCTGTCAGTGCGGCTTCATGAAACAACGTCTCAACCAACACTTAACAGCTGGGATGTCTTCTTCACATCCTGATGACAAAGACTGGATTCCCGCATAAGCCCTCAGAATAAATACAACGTACTGTTGACCTCAGGGTCCTCCCAACTTCCAAAAAAAGAAGAGCACAATAAGAAAAACACACTACACCCTATGACGCATTGTAGTAGTTTCCATTCTCCTTTCCATTCTCCCTATACAACCCATGATAGAAATTTCCATGTTCTTTTCCATTACCCCTATATAAGCCCTACATAACAGCTATGTCAACCCTAAACCCTAGATCCTAAAGAGTCGTCTTTATTCTATTTCCATTATCCCTAGATAACCCCTTTTTAACCCCTAAACCCTAAACCCTAAACCCTATATTTTCCCTATATTTTCCCTATATGACCCCTATATGAAGCCTATATAACCCCGGTATTCGCTATACAGCCCCATTATCCCTGTATAACCCCTTTATAACCCCCCTGTATATATTTCGCAGCTGAGGCTCAGGCGTCTAACCACAGCTTCCCAGAAGTTGGCCACAGAATGCGGACAAGCCACGCCAGCCTAGGTAAAGGGTTTAGGGTTTAGGGTTTTGGGTCTTAGGGTTCAGGGTTTTAGGGTTTAGGGTTTTGGGTCTTAGGGTTTAGGGTTTTAGGGTTTTAGGGTTTTGGGTCACGGTCTTAGGGTTTAGGGTTTTAGGGTTTAGGGTTTTGGGTCTTAAGGTTTAGGGATTTAGGGTTTAGGTTTACCATAATGGGTATATATAGGGTGTATATATATATATAAATATAGGGTATACAGGGTTTAGGGGTCGCCGCAAAGAGGGATGAGGTTCAAATCACTGTCCATGGAATACAAACCCCACTTCACATGTTGCTGTAGCGCTCCTTCTTACAAATCCTTGCCCACTCGCAATATTCAAGCACACAACTCCCCAAAACGTGGGAAGTTGTCAGGAGCACGGTCGCCTGATTTTATAATTTATAATCGTGAATACCAAAGTCATCCCAAGCTTCTAACAAACTACCATATCATGAAAGTTCCCCTAAACACCTGAACACAGCCCTAAACCCAAGCCCCACATCTCAAGATCCGAACTCAACCCTAAATCGCCTATCCTTAGCCGTGAAGCCTGAACACAAACCCGAAACCCTGAATCCAACCCCTGCCCCCTACAAATGGACATAACCCTAAAACCCCTAAAGCCCTGAACCCTACACCCCGATTTGCGTCAAATCCTAGACCCTAGGCCCTGAACCCTAAATCCTCTGGAATTAGCATCCTGCCTTCTTTGCGGCTGGCTTCTTGGCGATCTTGGCTGTGGCAGGGCGCTTGACCTGGGCCACATCGTTTAGCTCTTAAGATTCGGGGTCAGGTTTGGGGTGTAGGGCAGGGTAGGGTTGAGAGCTTCAAGGGTGAGGGGGGGAGTGTTATTTGGGATTTTTGGTCGAAGTTAAGTTTAATTCGTTTGGGGTTTAATTTCTGGGGTCTCGGGGTTTGGGCTTTAGGCACGGATTGAAGGTTTACAGGCCAAGGATCAAAATTTGGTTCCGGGGCTCAAGTTTCCGGATTGATGATTGGATTCCAGAGGGCGCAGGGTTGGGTTGAGGCTGAATTGGAACGAGAAAGGCGCAAAAACAGGCCGACGGCTAGTGCAGAAAAGACCCATTGATGAGAAAAGCCGATGCTACCACAAGAATTCCCAAGATTCCAGTCGCAGTAGTAACGAGCCCCTGTGGGGCAAGGCTCAAATCAGCATCAGTTTATCTGAGTTTTTTCTCAGAATTGCCACTTTCAAACTGCAACTCTCATGAAGTCGCAGTTCGAGAAATTCCGATGTGAGTTCATGGCTTAGATCCACTGGGTGCCCAGGCTAAAGGTTGCCGATAACTAGAGCAAAGCAGCATCATGGTTTATAGGATTGAGGGTTCTACATGTGCACCCCAGAAAGGATGGTACTAGCGCGGTGCGTTATTATACTTCAGCATGCTCCGCGCTTGGTGGTGGTATACTCCCATTTGCAACTCTACTCTCGTAGCCACCAGTGAACCTCTCAAGCATGAGGGCTAACTGTTCTCCAACTGTTCATGAGTGGAGGCAGTACCCTGACTATGCCGTGATTATTATGTCGGGGGCTTTCCAGAAGCCATCCCTAAACCCTAAACCCTAGACCCGCTCTCAACTCTGCGCTCGAACCTCTAAAGCGCAAGTGAGAAAATTACCTATACAATCCCATTCTAGCCCCTGTGAAACCCAAATAGAATGCCTATACCTAGATAAACCCGTAAACCCAGGAAGCCCAACCGCCTCAAACCTAAATTCGGATGCCCAATGTCGAACTCCTGGCCCCTTAATCTTCAGACCCTGCTCTCACCCGTCAGGGCTTAGGGTTTTGGGTTTAGGGGTTGAGGGTTTAGGGTTTAGGGTTTCGGGTCAAACCCTGCCCTCACCCCTCACACCCAAATGTGAAGTCATAGCAAGCCCCAACCCAAAGCCCCTAATCAAACCCTGAACTCCAAACTCTAAACCCTGAACCCTGCTCCCCAAGGCCTAATCCAAACATGAGAAGTAATACCAAACCCCAAGCCCTGAACCCTAAACCCTAAACCCCTTAACCCTAAACTCTAAAGCCTAAATCCCTGAACCCTAAAACCCTAAACCCTAGAAACCTAAAACCCTAAATCCCTTGAGGGGGAACTCAAGGTCGCTGCGGGCGCGGAAGCGGACGCCGGGCGCTTCTTCGGCGCCATGGCGGCAAGTGACAGCCCAGACCCCCTTCTCGCACAGCTTGAGGCTTAGAACATACTCTACGGGTCCAAGGACCCAAATAATGGGGTTTTAGGGCCCAAATACTACAACATCAATGGTATTTGGGCCCTCAAACCCTATTATTTGGGTGCTTGGACCCTTAGGGATACAATCAAGGTTTACTGTTCAAGGATTCCAGGGTTTAGGGCTAAGCTTTATGGATCACGGTTTTGCGGTAAAGCTTGCTGCAAGCAAGCACGACAACATCAAGGGCTGGAAACGGATTACATATGGTATCAAGAGGACTTTGGGAAGCCTCCCCCCCCCCCAAAGTCGAACCCTATCGTGCGCATATGATAGGTGTAGTTTGGGGTAATGCCCCTGAATATACGCATTGGGTTCAAAGAGATGTGTAGGGTTCATGGTTACATGGGGTGATGGTACTGCTTGCCCTGGCTGTCAGAGCATTTGAGCACTTGTGCGACGAATTGTATCAATGATACGGCAGTAGCCAAGCCTCTGCGGCTTGAACTGATAGTGGTGCAACTACCGGGCCCTCGCTGAGCGGGCTTGGGATGTAGGATTTAGGGTTTAAAGGCTTTGGGTTTAGGGCTTAGGGTTTAGGGTTTAGGGTTCAGGGATTCAGGGTTTAGGCTTCAGGGTTTAGGGTTAGGGTTTAGAGTTTAGGGCTTGCCAAATACAAGCAAAAAAACCTATGTAGCCACTGTATGGGCGTCGAATGCCATCATTTTGCATATTTGGCAGGGCGCTAAACCCTCAACCCTAAACCCTCAACTCTAGGTAGCCCTACGGCCAGGAACTCTGCAGGCTCAATCCTGCTAGTTTAGGGTTTAGGGTTTAAGGGCTAGGCTTCATGTGTTTAGGGCTTTAGGAAGTAGGGTTTTCAGGATTTAAGGGCTAGGCTTTAGGGGCTTAGAGCTTGGGGGTTTAGGGTGTTTAGGGTTTAAGGGCTGGGCTTTAAGGGTTTAGAGTTTTACGCTTTAGGGTCATCCACGACCCTTGTAGAAACAGTGCATGGGAGATCCTAGGGCTTCATCCCAACTTGTCAGAAGACCCTGCAGCCAGCCGCTGCTTCTGCAGGGTCTTGTCGGCTTCCCCGTTTCGATCCCATAGGGTTTAGGGTCTGGGGATTAGGATTTAGGGTTCGGTGCGTGGTTCAAAACTGCGCCATCCCTCAAATGTTTCAAGTTTGCAGCAAAAATTCGCCGAGGCATCCAGCCTCAGGGCGTTCAGATCCCTTTAAAAACCCCTATTCCCCCCTTGCAGACACACCTCAGCCTGGCCACCNNCCCCCCCACCCCCCGCCATGGTGGGTGGCCTAGTCCAGCCTGCGTTTGGAAATCCCCTCACATGCATGAAGCTGAGTAGTACTATGGCTTACAATATATACTATGTCTTATTTATGGGTTTCGCGTTTTGGGTACACTTAATTGGGATTTGCGGTGGATTATGACAAGAGCACTTTTGCGAGATACGAGGAGTTTTAGCTACCGTTCTGTGGCTAGACCCCAATATACATTTAGACTATTGG